ACACCTTCCGGACCCAGAAAGCCGTAAATCAAGTGGTCATAAACGGCATGGCCAAACTGGAGGATGACCTTGGCTTCGTTTTTGCCTGCGGGGTGGTGAGCAAGGCAGCCATGGAGAAGATTGCCAAGAAGGTTGTGTCTCTGTCTGACGAAAGAACACTGCCTTCTAAGAAACGTAAAAGGCCTTCCACATCGGACAGTCCTAAAAAAAGAGAAGAAGGCGTCCAGACCAAAAGGACCACGGTAAAGGCCAAGGCGAATCAGACTGACCTATTGTCTGCTGTGCCCATATCCTTTTCGGGCATAGCTGCAGCTCCTGTAAAGAACCAACAGCCACAACTACCTACGACCCCCCTCCAGGGAAGTTCCCGAAAGGGGTCAGTTGTAGAGACACCTGGGGCTGCGTGGGAAAAACGCCGTTCCCGAAAGGAGAAGAGGCAATCGAGGCGGGTGGAGGTCGCCTCCATAAAGAATGTGGCAGTGAAGGCACAGCCGACCGGCTTGGCCCAAACAGGGCCCGGCTCGGTCTCTGCTCTGAAAAAGTCCCGGCCGAAAAAGCCCAGGACGGAGGCAATCCTGGTCAAGCCCTCAGGGGGGAGATCTTTCGCCGAGGTCTTGGGTGCAATTAAGGCCAAGGCTAAGCCAGAGCAGACCGATACGGTTGTACGGTCAATTAGACGAACCCGGGACGGGGACGTTCTCCTTGAACTAGGTAAGTCAAAAGACAAAGCAGCCTTTACTGCCGAACTGAAGGCAGCTGTTGAAGGCCAGGGCACCGTCCGTGCTCTTGAACCAAAGACATCAGTCGAGGTTCGAGACATTGATTGTGTGTCGACGGAGGTTGATGTTGTTGAGGCCCTGAAGAAGGCTGTCCCCGAGCTTGGCGGGCAAACGGCTTTGTTAAGGTGTGGCTCACAAAACCGAACAGTAGTCAGCAGCGGATGGCGGTCGCCGAAATGGCAGACGCACATGCCACTAAGGTGCTGGCACTCCAGCATCTGAGAGTCGGCTGGTTCAACTGCAGGCTCAGACGGAGAGTGGAAGTGAAGAGGTGTTTTAAACGCCTCTGTTTCGGCCATTCCTCCCGAAACTGCAAGGGACACGACCGAAGCAAGAACTGCCTTCGGTGCGGGGAGGTCGGTCACGTCCGTAAGGACTGCCAAGTCGAGTCCTGTTTCCTTTGCAAAGAAAATGGGCTCGCTGACAAACACTTGAAGCATATAGCTGGGTCTGGACAGTGTAGTGTATTCAAATCTGCACTACAGCAAGCGAAAGCCCTTTCACGAAGATAAGAATCCTTCAGTGCAATCTTGAGCGATCCAGGTCGGCTGACGCACTTCTATGTCAGCTTGCCCTAGAACACGATGTCGACGTGCTCTTAGTCAGCGAACAGTACCAGTACCGTGATAGGGACCCATCTTTTTGGTTCCCTGATAGTCTTGGTACTGCTGCATTCTGGGCGCGTAATGCAGCGAAAGTACAAGTACGGGGTCACGCGAAGGGCCGAGGTTTCGTTTGGGTTCGGTGCTGGGATGTCACTTACTTTAGTGTCTACCTCACTCTCAACGAGGCCATCTGTGAATTTCGTGAGAAGATAGACCACCGTAGGAAGATAGATTTCGTAGGAAGAGAGCTTGCGCAATACCACAGGACACGTCGTCGTGGGTGGGGATTTTAATGCTAGGGCTGTCGAGTGGGGAATGATCCTCATCAATTCCCGGGGCAAGTACATTCTGGACTTTGCTGCCAGAGCCGGACTCGTTGTCGTCAACGAGGGAAACACGCCAACTTTCCGGCGCCCTGGAATGCGGGGAACGATCCCAGACATAACCCTTGCATCTGAGTCCCTTTTGCCAAGGATCAGAGCCTGGAGAGTCCTGGAGGATTACACGGGCAGTGACCACCAGTACATTATTTTTGATGTCCTGGATGGTCATCAGAGACAAGTAGCCGCGTTTCGTCAAGTGCCCGTTCGATGGAATATTAAAAAATTGGACGTGGCAAAATTCAATGAAGCCATCTTACGAGGAACACCGGTGGTTCCCCCCGCAACTAGGATGGCTCACACAGAGGTGTTAGTTACATCCATGATGGGACTAATCGTCTCGGCTTGCGATGAGTCTATGCCTCGCAGGAGATCCCGGTGCAATAAGCGACCTGTGTACTGGTGGAATGCCGAGATTGCGGAATTGCGTCGGTCAGCATTGAGAGCCAGAAGACTTGCTACCAGGGCCAGAGAACCTGTAGACAGACGTCGTAAGTCGGATGCCTACAGAGTGGCTAGGAGGTCTCTTCGTCAAGCCATCAACCGGAGTAAACGCAGTTGCTAGGAGACATTAAGGGACGATATCGATTCCAATCCGTGGGGCTTGGGTTACAAACTTGTAAACAAGAAACTTGGCACCCGCTCTCCACCTTCCGTCATGGATGGGGCTACTATGGAGAGGATAGTCGAGTCCCTTTTCCCGGCTCACGCGTTGCGCCCACTGCGGGATTTTGGAAGGGTGGATGACGTACCACTTTTCAGTCTTGGAGAGGTGGAGGCGGCCGTCCTATCCCTGAAGAACAATATAGCTCCTGGACCCGATGGGGTACCCGGCGAAGTCCTCAAAAAGATTTTGACTATTAACCCCTTGATCCTTTTGCGCATGTACAACGCCTGCCTAGTCGAAGGAGTTTTCCCCTCGTGCTGGAAAACAGCTAGGCTTGTGCTTGTTGGGAAGGGAAAGGGAGACCCAGACCTGCCATCCTCTTACAGACCTCTGTGTATGTTGGATACGGCTGGTAAAGTCCTCGAGAAGTTGATCCGTTCCCGACTGAATTCAGCCGTGGTCGCTGCGGGGGACCTGTCCCCTCGCCAGTATGGATTCAGGATGGGGCGATCTACGGTTGAGGCTGTTGAAGAGGTGAAGCAAGCCGTGATGAGAGCTGAGGATTTTAACCACTACTCTCGAAGGGTTGTGCTGTTCGTAACTCTCGATGTGCGAAACGCATTTAATTCGGCGAGGTGGTGCAATATGCTGGATGCTCTGGAGAACACCTTCCACGTCCCGGCATACCTTATGCGTATCATAGAGGATTATCTCCGGTTCCGCCTCCTCATGTATGACACTACAGAGGGCCCACGGATGATGAGTGTCACTTCCGGTGCTGCCCAAGGTTCCATACTCGGCCCAGACCTCTGGAATGTCGCGTACAACAGCCTCCTGAGGTCTGAAATGCCTGAGGAAACTGTTTTGGTTTGGGTACACGGACGACTTTGCAGTTTTGATAGCTGCACGTAGTGTTGAGCTGGCTCAGCTAAAGCTGAACTGAGTTATGCGTACTATAAACGCATGGATGACAGACCACGGTCTCTCGCTTGCTTTGAGCAAAACTGAGATCGTGATATTAACAAAACGGATTGACACCATCGTGCCGTTGAGGGTAGGGGCCTTCGAAGTCCAGACCGTTCGTTATGCCAAGTACCTTGGGATTATGGTGGACAGCAAGCTTAGCTGGCGGGATCAGATTTTCCGTACGGCGGACAAGGCCGCTAGGGTGGCCTCCTCTCTGAGCCGGTTGATGGCCAATGTCGGAGGCCCTCGGTCCAGCCGTAGAAGGCTGTTAATGTCTTCTGTCCAGTCCGTACTCTTGTACGGTGCTGAGGTGTGGGCAGACGCTCTAAATAAGGAGGTATACAGGATGCGACTCGCCCGAGTGCAGCGTCAGGCAGCACTAAGAGTTGCATCCGCCTACCGAACAGTGTCCGAACCCGCCGTCCTGGTGGTTGCTGGAGTCAATCCCGTCAAACTTTTGGCGGCGGAGAGAAAAGCAATTTATCAGCGCCGTGGGGAGGACCAGGCACGAACAGAGGAACGCACCCTCACCTACCAGCTGTGGCAGGAGAGCTGGGAACAGGAGACTCGGGGACGCTGGACCAGGCGACTGATACAGCAAGTCCAACCTTGGGTTAATCGGCGGTGCGGAGAGGTGGACTTCTACCTCACCCAATTTCTACCGGGTCACGGCTTTTTCCGGTCGTACCTGTTCAGGATGGCCAAAGCCGTGTCACCCAATTGCATATACTGCCCAGGCATTCCCGATGACGTGGAACATACCTTTTTCCACTGCCAGCGTTGGGAAAGGCCCCGCCTGCGGTGTAGGTCATAAAGTATCTGAATGCCAAAAACGGTGAGAGCCCTGAGGGCTTAGGTCACATGTTGGCCTGACTTGTAATTTATTTATTTATTTATTTATTTATTATTAAAATTAATAATAAATTGTAGTAATTGTAAGTAATGTGACAAACAATTCCAGGTCTGTGTCCAACAGAGTAGAGGGGGTTTTTTAGTGAGTAGTCTGTGGTAGATTCAGGAGTCTCACCACTACAGGCTGGCTACCTGTGTGCGTAAAAGCATTTTCCCTCCTCTCCCTAAAAAAAAAAAAACCTCCAATATAATCAAATACTCTTTAGGAGATGAAAAACATGTTTAAAACTAATATAAATAACTTCTGATCATTATTCTTGTGCACCTATCATAAATAATCATACAGAAGAATGCAGGTGCTATTCCTTACAATACATAAAATTGGATACAAAATTATTGTTACTTCGATATTGATACCCTCCACTCATTAAATAATATCCTGTTATTTAGTTTCAGTGAATCAAAGATCTGAAAATCACAACAAATAAAGTAACTGCTGTACTGTCATAGCATCTGCGTGGTACACAGAAACATTTAATGTTTCTCAATCAATGTTTCTGTGTGCCACTTAAAAATGCCATCATGGCAAAACATGTAGAAGATAAAAAAAAAACACACTTTTTTAACTGCAAGACGAGGTATTTTTTAATTTAGTCTATACACATTGATTTATTGCTTTATTAAAAAAAAAATCATGAAAAGTTATCGTTCCGTTCAACTGGCTTTCACTGCTCTGAAAGTGATCCTAGTAAAGATATGTTAAAGACTAATTTGAGGTGACACATTCTAATTGCATTGTTTGTAATTCCAGATCACTCATGTACCAACGCCTCGTTACCATGCCGGAATAGTCACAGTGAAAAACCTCATATACTTCATCGGAGGTTTCCACAGCGATGCAATGTTTGACAGGGCCACTGGTAAGTCGCCAACTGGTTACTATGCCAATAATACAAACCTCATATACTTAATCGGAGGGTTTCACAGCAATGCAATGTTTGACAGGGCCACTGGTAAGTCGCCAACTGGTTACTATGCCAATAATACAAACCTCATATACTTCATCGGAGGGTTCCACAGCGATGCAATGTTTGACAGGGCCACTGGTAAGTCGCCAACTGGTTACTATGCCGATAATACAAACCTTATATACTTAATCGGAGGGTTTCACAGCAATGCAATGTTTGACAGGGCCACTGGTAAGTTGCCAACTGGTTACTATGCCAATAACACAAACCTAATATACTTAATCGGAGGGTTTCACAGCAATGCAAAGTTTGACAGGGCCACTGGTAAGTCGCCAACTGGTTACTATGCCAATAATACAAACCGCATATACTTCATCGGAGGGTTCCACAGCGATGCAATGTTTGACAGGGCCTTTGGTAAGTCGCCAACTGGTTACTATGCCAATAATACAAACCTAATATCAGGGTGTCTACCAACCGGGAAAACCGGGAATTGTACTTAAATTTTTACTGGCCATGAAATGTATGGGAATTGTCCTTAAATGCCAGACAATGTCCTTAAATTTTTAATGGGCCATAATTTTATTGATCGCTAGTTGGTTAGGAGCACATAAAAGGTTTATCAGATGTTTGTTTACATTTTCATAATTTATTACTAGAGTAATTATGCAATAAAAATCCCATTAACAATCTCAAACCCATTAATATTTTATCACGACAATCAAGTGTCAAGTCAAGTACTTCCAAGAACTGTTGACTCAGCAGCTAGCTCATAAAAGTTGTATCACTTTTATTCCTTTACAACTTCTTTTTAGCGAATTTCCCATATAGGGAATAAGCTATTACCATAGGTCTCATGGTAAGACCTAGACCCGGGACCGATTTACTTTTTCGTTTTGAGGTCCCCAGAGGCCAAAAACACCATCCGTTCAAATTCATATATATGTGTCCTTTAGCGCGATAACTCGAGCAAAATTGATCCGATTTTGATGAAATTTGGTACAAACGTGTAAACCTACATTTATTTGAACGAGTTCGCAAACCAGCATAATCGGACCATGGGATCAGGGGTTTATGGGACGTTTTATGGGGTAAAAATGGGTTTTTCTCATTTTTGACCCTAAAAACTTTAAATTTCTAAATTTCTCTCTAGACCATTTTGAAGAGCTTAAAAAAACAATTAATTTAGTATATTGAAGTTTTTTTTAATGTTCATTGACTACGGAGAAAATTTATAAAATTGTAAATTTAAAATTCCCATGTTATTCTTATGGAGAATAAATAAACTGTTCTAGTTTGCTTGTTTATGGATATATTTTAATCAAATTTGGCAATTTGGCTTATTTCATACTAAGCTATAAATATTTCAATTGAAAAAACACACCTCAACATCTTCCCCGTAGCAGCAAACCTAACTACTCACTAAAATTAATGTTATTTAAATAGGAAATAAATCTGTAAATTTATAGGGAATATTTTAGTAGAAATCAAGCCGGGTAAATGGAAATTCGCTTAGTATGCAGGCTTGCTGCGACGGGGGTATTTATTACTAGGGTAAGTATTATTATATCCCAAACCTATTTTATCGTGAAAATAATAGCTTTATAATGGCTGTTAAATTTCACTTCTTACTTGTACTTTCGGCTTGAAGATTCAATTTGCCGCGGCCAGTGCCTAGTGCCATAAAACTGTTTATGGTTTCATATTAAACATGTAAATAATCTACAGTCTTATTTTGTAAGTTAACCCCTTTTTTATGGACATTTTATCTTTCAATTGACAAAACCACAACCAATGTTGTTTGCATTAATGTTTTATCACTATGTAGGCCTGCTTGGTTTCAAATTATGTCATTGCATTTTCTGTATCTTTGTCTTATATTGTTGGCTATTCAGGTTTCAATGTTTTTTGTTTCCCATATATTTATTTATTGAGTTGTATGCTTTAAGCAATCAAAATCTTATGAACTAGAATGATGATTGTAACTTTGCTGCTATTATAACCTCATTGTTTGTTACTCAGTTTATAGGCCCTCCTAAATAATTAGGTTTAGGCCTGGGTATTTTGATTCTTGAAAGAGCTGTAAAATATATTAAGAAAATGTAATTGAGCCTATAAGATAAACAACTAATGATTGCTATGTGTCGATATTAACTTTACAAATGAAAATACATTAATCTTACTCTGTGCTTATTGCTTATTAATATCCGCTTACCATACCTTGATTTTGTACTAAGAATTGAGTAACAATATGCATTAAAGATTTTTTTTCAAAAGTAGTCGAGAACCTAACGTTGTGCCAGGGCAAATCATGCCAAATTAATCCGCCTGGATCGGATAAGCTATGTTATGAAGTTTACGTGACGGATGGAGATATTTGTCGCTATCGCAGGAGACAATGATTGCGTTTCTCTGTTACACTATAAAAGCTTCACCTAAAGTATAGGTAGGCCTATGTTTGTTTACTTTCAATAAATTTCTATTTTGTAATTTTTAACTCTTATCTATTATTATTTACTTTTCTCTCTGGTACAACTACAGTGAATAACAAGATTAATACAGTTTGACAAATCAGGAAAATTATTCGGTAGGCCTAATGACACCGACAAAGGTTACGGCAAAGTGTCCTTAAATGTACGGGAATTGTCCATGAAATTTTTATCCAGAATGTAGTAGACACCCTGTAATATACTTAATCGGAGGGTTTCACAGCAATGCAATGTTTGACAGGGACACTGGTAAGTCACCTGGTTATTGTATGTCAATAATACAAGGGCTGTTCAGAAACAAAGGAACATTTCTTTCTGACGCCGCTAGGGTGCGCCGATCTCGTACTTTTTTGTGTGTGCACACTCGGCAACTCAGTCGGTGTCCAGCCAGCTGTGATGACGGGAACATCCCTGCGTTTTTCACAATTTCAACTGAAGTGTGCGCTGTACTTAAACTTAAAACTAATAGACATTCATCACTAAGTGTGAAGTTTACGGAAACAACGTAATGAATTAAAGTTTTTTGCGGAAATTTTCAAGACGTTGAAAGACGTTCATGACAAAGCAAAGAGCGGACGCCCAAAGCGAAAGCACTGTATCATGAATCGGTGGTTTTCGTGAACCTTTTCATCAACTTTAGGAACCAGTTCCATCAGTCAGAATGCTCAGGCATCCGCTTTTCGCTTTGTCATGAACATCAGTTCGGACATTATTAAACTGAATGCACCATTTTCGCACAGATTAAGTTTACAAAGCTTGTTGGGGAGGTTGTGGCAGGTCGTATGTCAATGGCCACATTGTTTTGGTTTTACAAAACAAAAAATAAATAGAAAGATAGCCTACTTATAAAAGCCTACATATAAATTCTGTATCTAATCAGTTACTAGCCTAGTTTGGCTCAACTAACTAATTTCTACATTATTGTAAATTATGAATAAATACCACAAACCTTCTGGAATATATTATTAATATAAATTGGTAGAGAAGCGGATAAAGGAATGGTATTTGTTTGATAAAATTGTCTATCCAGGTCATTAAAACATGTTAAAAAATCTGAATTTATAATGGACCGAATTGGTGGGCAAAAGCGATCGTTTGCAGCAAAAACGGTGATTAAAACTAAAATATTAAAGTACATAAGAAATTACAAACAAACTAAATAATGATAATATATATTTTTCAACCGAAATCATAAATAATGAGAAATAATTAAGAAACAATACCATAAAACGTTGCAGACTGAAAATTGGGTTCAAATCAAAAAGGTGGATGACGTCAGAGCTCAGACTCTAAAGAGATCTAAAATGTAGAGTTTAGACCAAATATTGGGAATAGTTTTCAATCATTTTGCTACAAAACTAGAAAATGTCCACGCCGCAGCAAACCTGCAGACTTAGATAATTTCCATCTACCTGGCTGGAATTCCACGAAATTATTCCCTTAAAATTATCAGGTTTATTTTCTATTTAAATATTATCAATTTTGATGAGTACAGTAGACTCTCGCTCATCCGGACTAATGTGGCGGACGTCCGGTCCGGATTACGAAAAATCCGGAATATCGAGAGTCGAGCAAATACACAGTACTGTATATAGCCGTTTTTTTCAATTTAGTTCCAGGTCCACAGTAATGATAGCCGGTCATATGCACTTCCACCGGTAATAATCTTTACGGCTGAATTTTGTTCCAGGTCCACAGTAATGATAGCCCGGGGGATATGCACTTCCACCGGTAATAATCTTTACGGCCGAATTTTGTTCCAGGTCCACAGTAATGATAGCCCGGGGGATATTCACTTCCACCGGTAATAATCTTTTCGGCCGAATTTTGTTCCAGGTCCACAGTAATGATAGCCCGGGCATATGCACTTTCACCGGTAATAATTTTTACCGCCGTGTTATCCAATTTTTTTTCATTATTCAAGGTAGTCTCTGTCCCGTTTCGCTTGGATAATCGGACTTCTACTGTACTGTGCCGCTAAAAAAATCACGATTGCTGATCGGGACTACCGGGAGTCCGGACAAGGCTGATCCGGATGAGCGAGAGTCTACTGTAGGTTTGCTGCTACATGGAAGAAAATTGGTTTTTTCATTGAAATAGCCTATTGTTAGCTTAGTATGAAGTAAACAAAATTTCATAAAAATATGTCCTCAGACAAGCAAGCTACAACAGTTTATTTATTCTCCATAAGAATAACATGGTAATTTTAAATTTACACTTTTTTGGGATTTTTCCCGTAACCGTTGGACATACAACAATGCTTCAATATATTAAATTATTTGTTATTTTAGCTCTACAAAATGGTTTGGAAAGAAATTGCAAAATCTTATGTTTACAGGGTGAAAAATGGGAAAAACCCATTTTTACCCCATAAACCTCTGTTCCCATCATATGGTTTGACAGCTCCTTTTAAGTAAAGTTAAATAATGTTTACATTCGGGCTAGTGACATCATTATTTTAAA